CTCTTATTTCCATATAATTATTATCTGCCTTCTACCTTTCAAGATATCCCACAATCAGGAACACATCATTGGTTTTGACACACAGAGTAAGATTCCTGAATGTCACAACCCTACCTTCAACATGAATAAATATTCTGATAATCAAACTTGCCTCTCATGGTTTTAGTTATGTGAGGAATTTAATATCACTTTATAAGTTACACGGGACCCTAAACTTTGGGTAACTTCTATCGTTAACCTGTGCTATTGCTGAACAGTTCTCATCCCCCTCCAAAGAAGACAAACTCCAAAGAGCATTAGTGAGACAAGCACATTTTACTGACTATCTTGCAGAAACATGACTAGGGCAGGGATGCATCATGAACAGCATGGCAATTCTCTTCCCTTCAAAAATAACTGTATGTATTAGACACGATGTTAATCTGGGTCCTCTGAGAATCAGACACAGGCACAGGATTTAACATGCAAGGATATTATTAGCAAAAATTCCTGTGATGGAAAATGGTAAAAGAGTGGGAGAAGCTGGGAGGAAGCATCTTAGACTTTTGTTCAAACTAAAGAAGGTTCAGCAATGTGGCCAGCCTCTAGAGAATTCCTGAGTCAAAGTCCATCATGAGGAGCCCCTGTACCTCAGAACTGATTGTGCCTTAGTACCCCTACTTCTGTCGGTATTGAACAGAAGCATCAATGGAACTGTGGCCATAGCACAAATCCAAGATGGAATTCAGAGCTCAGTGCCAAGCACAAGGTCAACAACCCTCTCTGTAGCTGAAGAACTTGGAGTTCACTCCCCATGGCCACCACAGATGACTCTTCCCAATCTCTCAGCTCTAGGATTGTTGCCAAGTCCCACCCATGCTCCAATGACTCTCCCGGTGATCTAGTCTTTCAAGCTTCCATCACTTGAGAATTCTCCACCTTCAGAGTTTTTCCACATCTCTTCCCTTCTCTTGTCTCTTCCAGAGGTTCATCCAACTTGGCAAGTTCTACAGGATTGCCCAAATTTTCATCACCCATCACTGTTTTTAGGTATATTAAAATCCTGACTTTGCATTCAAAAAATTAAACATCCTCCAGTTGCAAGATTTTCCATCCACAGAAGGCAGTGCAGAGGACAACAATGCAGAACACAAAGTATTTCCTGCTATATTCCAGCAGTGCTGTGCTGTCATCACGTCCTTCTATTTCAGTATTATGCAGCATCTATCATCTGGTTTCTAGATCCATCTACATGTTAAAACTCCTCTCATAAAGTCATCAATGTTTTTTTTAATTGCCAAATCAACTGGACATTTCACAGTCATTATTCTTGACTTTTATATGCATTTCACATTATTGGCCATTTCTCTAATTACTATTTTTCCAGGAGCTCTGTCATACAATGCACTACACATTCTTCCTTGGATTGTTCTAGTCATTTCTTTTGCCTTCATCCCTGTTTTTGTTGCTCTGCATCCTCTGGATATTTGTATTCATAGACCTTTTGTTCTTTTTCACTCTGCATAATTTCCTTAGGAGCTTTATTTTCTGCTGTGTATTAATTTTCATTTATGGCACCATACACTACACTATGTCCTGAGGATAATTTTTTCTGGATTATTTATTTTGTAGAAGAAGCGGGGTATAGGCCAGAGGTGCGGGAGATGAGAGGATTCACCTGAGACAATGAGCAGCAGAATAGCTAAATCTGCTGAAATACACTGCTGAAGGGGGCATTGGGCAAGAAAGGAGAGGTCTGCTGTGTGATGTGGGTAGCTCCCTGGCCATGGATTGAACTTATGTCTTAGTGGTGATAGCATTGAGACTTAACCCCTAGGCTACCAGGGAGGCCCAGGATAGAATTATGGAGGAAAAATCTCAGCCTTAAGGAATGGATTATCAAATGGGGAAATTTGAGAAGAGCAATTAGACAATAAGATTTGGCTATAATTGGGGAGTGTTCGTTAACTGAAGGCACACAGCAGAGGACATCGAAGTTTGACTTGGGAAATTAAAGAAGATCCTCATCAGCAGAGCATCGTGAATGTGCCAGAACAGTGATAAGAGGGGTAACAGGGCATTCATTCAGGCTTAGAAAGCCCCATGTTTGAGGGGCTATAGCTAATCCAGAATATCCAGAATATAGAATGAAGGGAAAACGGAGAGACTGGCACAGGAAGTTGTAAAATAAAGCCACTGAGATGAAGGCCCTTGTGTGCTATCCTGTGGTCTGTGGGTCTTATTTAACAACAGTCAAGATCCACTGATGGACTTCAAATAAGAATGTGACTTAATTTCTTTAAAAGTTTTGGAAGCTCACACGCTACAAAGAATAGATTATATATAGGATATCCTCGATGTCAGAGAAATATCTAGGATGTACTCCAGCTCAATTCAAGTTATTATTAAATAATAAAATATTATTTAAGTCTACTTTTCATCAAGCAGTCTAAAATACTAGATAATAGAGGCCTGCTCATTAACTCAAGCCAAAACTCAAAGTAAAACAAAAAATAACATTAAAAGTGTGTATTTCTACAAACACACACTATATATACATACTACATACCACAGACATACATATATATATAATTTTTTTATATACTGAACTGTTCTAGCTCATTTACCAAAACCAGAAATCCTTTTCTCCTCCATTTTCCTCTCTCCTCTATGCAATTATTCTTTCTGCTCTAAATCCAAAGTACCCATACATAGATTCACTTTTTCCATCTCTTCTGCCACCATCCAAGTCCATACTACCATCATCGCTCGCCGAGCTGCTGGCAATAACTTCCTAAATTGGTCCCAGGTTTCCACTCCCACGCTGGCCCAGGATGGATCTATTCTCCACATACTAGACAGAATAATCTTTATGTAATGTGAGTTGGATTATGTCCTGCACTTAAAATCCTCCACAGACTTCTTGTGTTTAAAATAAAACAAGCCTCTGTCATATGCCCTAAAAGGCCTCCTGTAATCTGACCCTACATTCTATCTTTAATCTTCTCTCATGTTATCCTGTCCTCGCCCCCTTACTTTGTTCAATGGCATGCAATTTCTGCAGTTTTCACAACAGACTGTACATTTCTCACACTTTTTTTTTTTAAAGATTTATTTATTTGCTTATACAAGCACTGGGTACAGTCAGAAGCGTGGGGGTGAGAGAACTCACCAGAGCCAGAGCGGGGAACAGAACAGGCAGACTGATGAAATACACTGCTGAGGGGAGCAGCGGGCGGCAGGAGAGGTCTGCGCGCCAACTGGGACCCTCGCCAGCTGCTGGGGATTGAACCGGTCCTGCAGAGGCTGTGGGCAGCTTCACAACCCAGCGCTCAACCGCTGTGCCACCGGGGAGGCCCTCTCACACATTTCTTTTTTGCAGATCTGTCCTGTGCCTGCACTTTTCACCTCCTTATGGTATCACGTCTACCCTGGTCCCTAACATCACCATTTCTTGCCTGGCCACTCTAATAGCTTTTTTTCTGGGCTTCTTACTCCCACTCTTTGCCCCATAAAGCAGGCAGAAGTGACCCTTTAAAAATGTAAACCAGAATATGTTGCTCCCTGCTAAAATCCATCAATAGATTCTAATCACATTTAGAATAAAATCTAACTCAGATGTTAGACACTCAGATGTCTGGATTCCCACTTAACCTCATCTTCCCCTTTTCTTGTCCTGGTTTCTTCCTACTGGAGCATTTTCCCTCTGCTCCAGCCATGCTGCCTCATCCTTGTTCTTCGGACATACTAACTTACCCGAGGGCCTGCTGCTCCTCCAGCCTGAACCTCTCGTTGCAGATACTGGCAGGATTTTCACCTTCACTTTGGTTCGCTACTCAAACTAGCATCTCTCTTCCATCCCCATATGTTCTTGTTCTGTGAAAAGTTATCACAATCAGACATTATAGTATATATTTGTTTCATGCCTTTATGGTTCATGACACTAAACTCCTGAAGGGTATGGACTCTGACATTTTTTTACTATTATTTACCCAATATTCAGAATAGGGCTGGCATACGATAGACATTTACTAAATGTTTGCTGAATAAAGTAAGTAGAGATTCAGGATCCCTATTAATGAGCTCAATTAGCATATAGGCATTATTAATTAAAATAAATTAAGCAGCTACTGAGAATTGTCTTCTTCAACATATTAACGATTTATTTGAACTATATCAGATGAGAGAAATCAAATGCAATAATAAATTTCTCAGAAAAGTATTAGCAGATTTACTTCTTAATAACAACAAATGGGAAATATTTAAGGTGTAATAAACTTCTTAGCATTGTTATACGCTAATAAATTTTTAAAGAGATCAATGATTCAATGATTTCTTTTGAATACTAACATGTAGTCCATTTTCTTTTAACCTCATAGATTAACTTTACAAACACAACCAATTAAATGTAAATCATTAAGATGTGGCTTCCAACATTTCATTGTTGACAGGAATAAAAAAAGTCTCTCAGTCGGTTATTTTCACTTTAGAAGATGACACTGCAGTGTTATTCTCATCAAAGAATAAATATTTGGTATATGAGATATTTCAAAAGCACAATAAACTGAACTTTTTTGATAACTTGAGAGACTACAATTTAAACCCATGGGCTTCAGTAAATTTTATAAAAATATCAAATTTGTCATTTCATTTGGTTTTAATAATGTATTTTATTTTATAGAATTACATGTTATAAGGTCATTCACACTATATTAGTTGCTGATTGCTTCAATTATAAATTCTAGTCAAATTAAAATAGGTTTTAAATAAATCAGTGTTTCAAAGAAACCAAAAGTCAATCGTGCATTGCTTATAAACTGAACAGCTTATCTTGTAAAAACATATATATTATTATTTTTAGTATATTAATATTATGACCATTATTTCAATGTGGCAACTGAATCTACAAATCAGAGCCTATTAAAATGGTGTCCAAATATTTGTCACATTAAGTTAAGTTGATGGATTCAAAATATCCTCTCAACCACAAACGAGTACTAATGCCTACAAATTTCATTCAGCTTCTTCAAATCTATGTCCTGAGAACCTCCTCTTTCCCAGGGATTGTGCCAATGTAAGGATCGAAAAATGAACGCATCACAGAACATACTCTGAAGGCATCCCAGGTACTCTTGAAGGGGCTGGAAATGCCATTAGGAAGGGCTCAGAGTCACCTCCTGCGGGTGGTGGACTTGCTGTGACAGTCCCCTAAGTGTTCAGTTAGCAATTGCTACTGAGAGGAAAACTGTTTTCTCCCAAAGAACAAAGTGTAGATGGTTAAATTTCTTCTGAGCAGCTAATGGTATAGCTCTGAATAATCATACCGGTTTCTACTTCTTAGGGCCAATCATAAAGATGTGTGTTGTGGGCGGCGGGGGGCAGGGATGAACTGTGTGTGCCACATCAACTAGCCCTTGGATGTGAGGGAGAAGATGAAGTCTAGATGGAGTTTCAAATTTATGTTTCTTCTTTATAAACACGAGACTGAACACAATAGAGAGGGAGAAAGGTGAGTTATAATTGTCAAGTTTGTATGAACATACAAACTAAGGCTTTATAATTCTTTAATGTGTTAACAAAGTGCTTAAAACCATATTTAAATAACAGATGCTACTGTGTTATAATCTTTCTCTTGATATTAATAAACTATCCAAAACTACATCAAATTTAATTAAAAAAAATAAACCTTTTGTTTAAAATATTAAACAAAAAATAAAAAAAAAAATAGTTAATTTTTCCCAAATTTTCTTCAATCTCAGACATCATGTAGAACTAGTATTAGGTATTTATCCAGTAAAGAGCCATTTTAAAGAAATTACATGCAACTTTATATTAAGTATGTAATGAAAATAGAGAGCAGTAAACACCTCACATGATGTAATGTGTCTTTGATTTACTGAGAAGAAAAATATACATGTCATAAATGACTAGTTGTGTATATAATTATGCTGCTGATTATAGAGAAAAATCAAGGAACTGTGAGAAGTATCACCAAAAAAAAAATAAATAAATAAAAAGGAAATACAAGAGAGGAGAACAGGAAAAATTAAGGGTGACAGCCAGCCAGCAGAGAGGACTGATTTAAAATGACACACACTAGTAGCAGTGTTCAGTGAGAATGCTGAGAATAACAGCGTAAAAACAGGGACAGTCTATTCTAAAAGACCACAAAATAAGTAGCTCTGAGATATGTGTGTATTGTATATGTGTGTATTTGTATATTTCACAGTGACAGTAAGAAGGAAATAGTCGCCAAAAAAAAAAAAAATTCAAAGTAATTGTTCCTAAAAGTGTGTATTAGTTTCTACTTCTGTCATAATAAATTTCAAAAATTCAGCAGCTTAAAACATGAGCATTTAGTAACTCACAGTTTCAATGGGTGAGAAGTTTCAGCATAGCAAGGTTAAGTGCTCTGTTAAAGATATCACAAGATCAAAGTCGAGCTATAGGCTGGCCTGGGCTCTTACTTGGAGGTTCTTGGGTAGAATCTGCTTCCAGGCTTACTCAGATTCTTGGTGGAATTGAATTGCAGGTTGTCATAGAAATGAATTCCCTCTGATGGCTATCTCAGCTTGTAAGACCTTCTACATCTCTTGACTTCAAAGATGGCATGTCCAATCTTTATTGAACTTATAATCTCTTTGATTTTCTCTTCTGCTTTTCCTCTTCTATCTTTTAAAAGACTCAGTTATTAGTTCTAGCCCACCTAGAAAATCTAGGGTAATCTTCCTATCTTTTTTTTTTTTTGGTGGGACCCTCGCCGGTGGCCGGGGATTGAACTGGCGCTGCAGAGGCTGCAGGCAGCCTCACAACCCAGCACTCAACCGCTGCGCCATCAGGGGAGGCCCGGTAATCTTCCTATCTTAACCTCAACAGATTAGCAATATTAATTCCCTCTGCAAAGCCTTTTACTAAGTAGTATAATGTAATTATAGATGGAACACTAACAGAGATAATGAAGATCGAAAGTCTTCCTTTCGCAAGACAACAATATAACATGCAAAAAGTAAATCAATGTGGGTGCCCGGATGGTGGGTGTGGTAGGGTAACATACATCTGAAGGTATGTGAACCTATACCTCCAAATGATATATAGTGTTTCTAAAAAATAATATAATTTTTTAATAAAAGCAAATCAGTAGTACAACAAAAACAGTTTGGAGGAAAACAACCAGAGTTGGTATGCAGGGTAGTTATTAAGAAATATCAGAATAAGACTGATCTGGGATATATTCTGCCTGGTCATTTATTTTCTACGAAAATTCCTTAACTTTGATAGGCCTATTTTTTCATTTATAAATAATGTATAATGATAACTATCCCACAGGACTGCTGAGCATCAAGCAACAGAAATTAAAGAATGCTAAATATTATGTCACTAGCTATGCCTTCTGGATATAAAGACTTCTGGATATAAATGCCTTCTGGATATAAAACCCTGGTGATATAAAGACTGTTCTCAGGAATACAAGCAGAAATAATTTGTCACAAGCAGACCTACACTCAAAGAAATGTGAAAAGTTCTTTGGAAGAAAAGAAAATGATCACAAATCAAAACTTGGATTTACACAAAGCAAAAAGAGCACCAAGATACATTAGGGTAAATGTAAAATCCCTTTCTTACTTTAAAAATTGGTTAAAATGAACTATTAAAAAAGTGTTACAAGAATTTATGACATACAGAAAATGCATGGCGATTCTGAAACAAGGGATGAGAGAATGGAAGCATAATACTCTAAGATTTCACATTATTTTTGAGATGTCAGTAAAATATATTTTGAAAGTACATGTCTTCTTGGTTCCATTGCTCCTTCACCATTGTTTCTCTGAAGACAGTTGCATTGCTTTAAAAACTCAGAATTCAAGATTCAAAGGGCTTGAGTAATATTGTTTCCATACCTTGTGCCTTCACCACAAGGAGTGATAACTGTTTCTAGTCTCTGAGTGACTCAGTATCCCTTATTTGTTCCTTAAACCCTTCCTTTTATAAGTAGGCTGTTTATTAAATTCTCTTTATTTAAACCCTAAGTGAATTCTGCCTCGCATTGTACCAACTAGTTGCTATACCAAAAAATGAAATTCTAATCGGGATCACTCATATATTAAGCTACCATAAGTAAATGCATCGATGACCTCTTACTTGAGGAGATGTACACAGTGAAAATGAGCATGTAGTGGCATCCTGAGCACTCAGTATCACTAGTGGTGAGGTAGAATGGAATACCAACTTAGGGTAACTCTTTGGATGATCAAGTGGCCACTGAATAAAATAATTGGCCAAGTTCAAACAGAAGTGAATGCACAAAAGAACCCAGATAAGATTCATCAGTATGATGACCCTAATGGTCTATACCATACATAGTAGAAAAGAGTTGAATATGGTTTTAAGGAGATGACAAATGACGCCTGAGAAATATGGTGGATCCCTCTGAAAGTCTTTGAATTTTTTACTGGATTATTTGTTAAAAATACAATAGCCTTTTCCAGAAAGAGTTGAGGCAATTATTTGTAGCCCTTTGATATTTAGCTCTATTTTAGACAAAAGGGTAAGAAGACTTTAGAACAAAGAAAAAAATGATATATTTTCTCAAAATCTAGGAGAATTTTTGTTATCATGTTTTTATATGAAAATTGTCTCTTGTACAAATTTTGTTGTTAGTAATATTTAAATATCTTTATATTGTTTGTTTTGCCTTAATGCTATACAGGGAATGAAGGGTTGTTATTTTTAGGCCCTTTTAAGACAAATCATGATGTATATTTTTTCCCTCCATTTATTCAATACACTAGCTGCCATATTAGATCCATGGTTTCAGGACCAACCACATAGCTTACATGTTAAATTATTTTCCCCTAACACCTAAAAATTGAAATGGATAAAGAATTTTGTGTAGGGTTTCTTTTTCTACGAATGTGGCAGCTTAGAAATCTGAAAAGTACATGCACAATTCAGAGATATTAAAGTTCTAAATAAATGGTGAAGTATTCCCTCATTCCTGGTTTGGATTGATATTTTTAAGATGTTAATACTTATATTACATTATTTATATTGATATGTGAATAGTAATATTAATATGTTAATTTTCCACACATTGATCTACAGCTTCAGTGCAATTCCAACCATATACCAGCAGGATTTTTGTGGAAATTGGCAAGGTGACTCTAATATTTAGATAGAAACAAAACCACCATAAAATAGCTAAAATAATGTTTCCTTAAATATAAGTTTAAAAATAACAAAGATTTACATATTAATAATCTTATTTATAAATTTACTTTGGAACAGTTTTGTTTGATTAAAATTAATTAAAAACTCCTTTATAGAAACACTAAGGAGCTATGCATTTTAACAGATGAAACATTAACTTAAATGGAAGTTCAAGCAGCTGATAAATGAAAATTCCATATGCTATGGGTGATTTTGTTAAAGCCACATCACATGAAAAATTAAACTTCTGTGTAAATTAAAATTCTTTTTATTAACAAATTTTATAACTTGACATTTGATTCTTTTTAATATTTTTATCAAAACAATGCAAGTTTATTGTCAAAAATTGTATGTATCTATGTGAAGCCAAATAAGAATAATAATGGGCTTACAAATAATGATGGGCTTACATGGGGCCTCAATTTACTCATTGTGCTGCTGCTGCTTCTGGGACCAATGTACAATTTAGAAGAGAAGGAAAAGAGATTAGGGGCAATGAATGTTTTTCCTTTGTTCAATATAATTGATCAAATAATCTGACTGTGCTCATATAACAGGCCTGAGAAAATAGTGTAGTTTTATTAGTGGTAACTTTCCAGAATCAATAACTTTTCTAATGAATATAAAAGCCTGGATGCCTTGCAGTCCAAATTCATGCAATTGGATTGCTTGTTGTAATCAAGCACTGGCATTAACGTTCTGATGTGATAAAGTAAGTGTTTAGTAATTTAGTCCTCAACTGCTTCTGGCATTTCAACTCTTTGTTGGCATATAAAGCAGGAATTTCTTCTGTAGTAAAAAGTAAATTATTGACTTTTTTTTAATCACCAGCAATGAATAGGCTATTGGCTGTGTAAGACTTTCTATTCAAATGTTGCTGGACAGAAGTTGGCTTATACCAACCTTAGCAAATTGAAATTCAATCCAGATCAATAAGGCATTTTATTCAATTTGTTCTGGAATGAAAATAATCATCACATTTTGTAATAAGCATGTCTAATTTCAATTTTCAGACTATGTATTAATTTCATATAATAAAGCATAACTGCTGGTCTTGTTCTTTTGAGTTGACAAATGCATTCCATAGATTGCACTTATCAGGTAACTATTTTTGAGATGTTGGGAAGGAGTGTACCAAGACATAATAACGAAAATTTGATTATTGTCTACCTAGAACTTGAAAATGTTCCTTAGATTTCAAAACAATTATATTTGCTCATTTTCTATAGAGGTGACAAAAATGTATGCATAATGAGATATTTTATTGACTAGCAAACAGTTTGCCTCTATGAACTATTTCCAACAAGGGGAAATAAAAAGCCTATGAGTAAGATTAAGTAGTTCTTGGCTAAAATATACTGTGATATGCTGTCAGCATTGAAGTAGTTAAATACACTGTATCAGTTAGCTTTCACTGCATAACAAACCGTCCTTACCTTACTGCTTTAATTTAACAGTCACTTATATTGTTATTATTCTCTGAGTAGAAAATTTGGGCTGGATGATAATAGGAAGTTCTAGTCTCAGATTAACTCATCCAAGCATCTGTGATATTTGGGCAGCTGAGACAGCCTGACCTCTTGGATATTGGGTGGATTGTCAACTGTCATCTGGGTGATTGTGTTTGTCACTCTCCAGATGGCTGACCTGGGCTTATTTGCTTAGTGTTGTCAGGGCTCTAAGAGCAGCAATAAGCAAGCCTTAATTTATAAGCACTTTTCATGTCTCTACATTCATTGTATTTGCTTAGAGCCCATTTGTTGCAGCAATTAGTCCTGTCCCAGACTCTAGATGAGAAGGTACTATCAAAGTGTATGAACAGGGAGGTGTGAAGAAATTGGAGTAATTATGCAGTCAAACTACTGTAGTCCTGACTGAAGGTTGTCATCTGTTAGCGCTCCCTCCTACTTGGAGTTGGAGATGACACTTTCTCATTTCTTCCGCGCTAAGCCGTATTTTGGAGATTTAAATATCATTTGGTACAACCCATGAGAACAAAATAAAGCAGGGTCCTTTATGAAAATAAACTATTTCAGTGACCATGCTATATTTTATGTTTCAAAATATCCCAAATATATTAATTTTGAATTTTCAATCTTTCTTTATAGCTAAGTATTCTAATTTCAGATTTGACACTAGCCAAGATTTTCTAAAATGTCATTGAATACATTTACAACACGAAAGTTTTTTATTTGAAATTGCAGTTTCAAATTCTGTAATTCCTATCTTCCATAACTTTTCATATATGTTTCCAATAGTGCTCGTTGCTCACTAAAAATCTGTATATTTTATGTTGTGCTTGTCTTTTGTTGTCCCCCACATGATAATGTATGTTACTTATACATCTCAAAGTCTGGAAGGTGCCATGCCATAATAGGTGCTCAATGAATGATTATGGAAAGAATTGCATAGCTGAGCTCCACCAGAAAACCATACACAAAGTGGGTGGATTCAACACTTGTTTGGAAGTTTAATTTGGATTGCATAGAGCTGGATTTGGTGACTCAGGACCCCATTCAGACAGCAGCCTCCTCTAGGGTAATTTTGCTTCACTATCATCTTTCCAAACAAATACACAAACAAATGATTTGAAGACTTTTAGGGTAAGAAAAATTCAGGGTATGTGTATATGTATGTATGAATTTATATAAATACATATACAGATGTATGTATATATGTTTAAATATGCAGAAAACATGTAAATATAGGAAATTCAGTACTCATTTAGTATTATAATTCTCTTCATCCTAATAAAACTCCATCCACAAAACAGCATAGAAAAAAATAATTAAATGTCTACTCTCGTTGAAACTTACACCAGTAATTTAAAGAGTCCTTATGTCAACATTATAGGATAATACCTTAGCATTCAGCCATATCGTGATCTAATATACAGATTTTAGACCCAAATAACCTAGGGTGTAAGTCCTGTTCCTTAGGAATGTGATCAGGTTCAATTTTCCTCATTTAAAAAGTGTGTTTCACAAATTTTTATAATATCTTTTTGAGTATATCTTTTGTTTAATTGTTTATCACTTTTGTAGTAATTTTTAAAACATTGTTGTGAAGACTGACTGAGTACACAAAGATAGCAGTTAAATCAGCCTGCATGTGTATCCATGTATGCATGAAGGTTACACAGCAAGGCAGGCATTCCCAGCCCTTCTCTATGTGGCCCATGTGACATGTGCTGACTCTAAACTCTAAAGAGCAGATTGAGGATTTCAGTCTACTGAGTCCCCTCTCCCTTTTGCATTCCCTCAACTTGCCAGACACACTTCTAGCTCTTTGCTCTAGAAGTAGGGAGCAGGAAAGGATCATGAGGTCTTGCTTTTGAGTGACTGCCTCTCCTACTTCCATTTCATGTCTTTGGCTATCCTCTCCTTATCTAC